ACAGTCGTATTGTCATAACTCTTCTAAAATTGCCATGGTGTCATAGCTCTTATTTTGCATTATCATGGTGTCATCTTTTGTTCATATTCTGCTTTATATAATATGTTATGGTACCGGTGGTGGGCGGAGAGAGAGAGAGAGAGAGAGAGAGAGCTAACTGCATTTTGTACACGCTTCAGATCATGGTTTTTCCCTAAAATTATACGAAAAAAAAGAGTCATTTTTTCATAGTCTATATTAAGGTTTGGTAAAATAAGATAAAGTCTGTGTATTTGGTGGACCTTTATGGTGTGAGGTCACTGACACACACTGTTGACACCATAATTAACATGGTGACTACACACTTCACCATCTGGGTCAACATTCTTAAGGTTCGTTGCTTCACTTTTTTTTTTACCTCTCAACTGGTTTACGTGAGGGTGAATAACAAAATGGTGTCTCCCGAGGCACTAGGTTGAGACTACTTTGCCTCCTCATTCTCATCAACGGCGCTCTAAAAGATACTCCTCCTCGCTGGAAATATATCGACGTTTCCACTTTTGACATCAGTGTGAACAACTCTGCTCCTGACTACAGCGCCTTCCAAAGCAAACTAAATAGTTTCTAAGATTGGTCCATCACCAACCTATCACCATCAACCACAACAAGGCCATGGTTATGCACATTAACCTCTTCTCAGACCATGCCCCACCTTCCGCCATCACATTGGTTCCCAACACACTCCGGGTTGTGGACTCCATCAAGCTCCTCGGCGTCACTGTAGATAACAAACTGAGCTGGAAAATACACGTCAGTACAACCTTCAAAACTTCACATCCTTCGTCGTCTCAAGTCCCCTGGAATTCCCGCGTCTCTCTCTCTCTCTCTCTCTTTTTCTTTCATTCTCCACCTGCCCATCATGCCGTGAGCACGTATACTGTGGGCATTCTGAATGAGCTGCCAGAGTCACCTGTAGACTCCCCTCTCCTCAACTACTTTCCCCCAGGACTCACCAGCAATCTCCCACCAAGGAAACCGTGCAAGGATTGATGATCAATTCATGACTGACTTAAGAGTGACACTTTCAATTCGAAAAAGAATGAACATGTTGGTGAAACAGTGAACATAGTGAAGTGATCGGTTGGAACTCTATATTATCGCAGTCAGTGTTTACAGTGTTTACCACAGACCGGAGGGGAGGCTCTGTGACAGCCACATGGAACCCTCCACACCAACAGCGTGTGTGGCACTACAACCTTACGTTTTATCCCTACAACACCACTGGAGAGGGAGGTACTACAACCATAATGGATCCTCAACAACTTCACTGGAGAGGGAAGTTCAACCATATGAGATATTATACAACACTGGAGAGGAAAGTACCACAACCACCTGTTATCCTCCACAAACCATCAGAGAGGGAAGTACTACAACCACATGAGATCCTCTACAGCACCAAATTATCAGTAATTCATAGACAACTTGTTTGTATACACCATAACTCATTTTTGTATTGAGAGCGTTTGTTGAACACTACCCCCCAGTGTTAATATACCTAATGCTGTATGTCACTTGTGTATTTGTCCATTGTATATATTCAGCCTCTTGCTACTGTGTTTTTCAACAAACCATAAATTATTATTATTATTACAAATAATTGTCCAGGGAAAATGAAAGGAAACACCAAACAAAATCCTGTATTCAAAATTTTAATCTATTATAAAGAATTCTACTGTTTTAATGTGAAAAGGCGTAAGTTTGGGGTAAATGGAGTAATATATTACACAGTTTTGAGCTATTTAATTAACTGTTTATTGAAAAAGTTCCGCAGCCTGAAGGCTGAAAATACACAATGGACATAAATGACATATTACATACATTGTAATTGGGGAGGGGAGGGGAGGTGTTTAGCAAAATATTTCTTAAATATTTCATAAATTGATGTTTACAGTGGAGATCACGTAGGCCACGTGCGCTTAGGTGTTGAATAGCAAATACGAAGTGTTGTAACATGGTCAAAGATGGTGTTATGAGGGATCTCACTTGGTGCAGTAATTCATTCATTATGTAGCGTCGTAGTGTCATGAGGACACCGCGTGGTCTGGTGTCATAGGACCTCACATGGCCGGCGATTGTTGGGTCTCATGGTCACTCGGCAGTTACCACTGGGTCCCTGGGACCTCACTGTGTGAAGGTTAACTTAGCCACGACTTAGCTTTTACTGTTCAACATTGACTTCTTGGCTTAAAGCACTGTTTATCGCTGTTCAAAATCGATTCTACTCCTTTCGGAAACGAAATTGTAACTAATGGCGATTTTTTTTTTATATTCCGGTGGGTAGGAGAGGTGTGTGAGTGTGTGTGTGCAATAATAATAATAATAATAATAATAATAATAATAATAATAATAATAATAATAATAATAATAATAATTAACGGTTTATTGAAAAAGCATGGCAGCCGGAAGGCTGAAAATATACAGTGATATAATTGGGTAATGGGTCTCTTGATTGACAAATAATATACAATTAACACATGTGATACAAATATGGTATATAATAACTAGGTGGGGAGAAGGTCATACTACAGGGCATTTCAACATAGTGACAGTGCAAAAAGGTAAGATTGACTGGGAGTGAATACTTGTACACTGTTTGATTACAAGTTATTGATAATTTTTACAATGGTTGGGACTGGGCTGTTCTTATAGCGATCAGTACGTGCTCGTATGGGCTGGATGCGGTTGTGGTGTCGAACAACAATTCGCGGACGAGGAATCTCGGGTAGTTGTAGGAGCCAGTGTCGAGGATGGTGCAGAAGCTTCTCACCAAATTTGCAGATGAGGTCGTGGTGATGGTCAGAGAGAGTCGAGAGAGTCAGTGTGTTGAGCGCTTTTTAATATGTGGAGTAAACGGGGAGAGAATAATCTTGCATGCCCTCTTTTGCACTTTTTCTAGGTGTTTCCTTTGTGTTGCATTTAGGGAGGAAGACCAGGCAGAGGAGGTATAGGTGAGCTTGAGAAGTATGAATGTTGAGTAAACACTGAGGAGCTCGGGCGCAGGAACTCCGAGGAACTTGAGACGGAAACTGGAGGATTTGACAACTTCGCTGACGTGTGTTTTCCAATTTAGTTTGTTGTCTATAGTGACGCCGAGGAACTTAGTGGAGTCCACAACCTGGAGTGTGTTGGGGCCAAAATTAATGGGGGAGGTGGGAGATGATCGGAGGAGAGGTTGATGTGCATAACCATGGTCTTGGTATGGTTGATGGTGACATGGTTGTTGGTGGCCCAATTTTGGAGACTGTTCAATATATCCTAAAGGGCGGTGTAGTCGGGAGCAGAGTTGTTGACACTGATCCCAGTGGTGTCGTCGACATATTTCCAGCGAGCAGAGGTTTCTCTTTGGGCATCATTGATAAGCATAAGGAAGCAGAGTGGTCCTATCTTGGTTCCTTGGGGGACGCCACAGGTGAGTGACTGAAAAGTGGAGACATCCCTTCGGAAGCGTATGGCTTGGCGTCGGTCACTGAGGAAGTCTGTAAGTCATGGTATAAGACTTCTTCGAAACCCGAAGTCGATAGCTTTGTTGATGATGAAATTGTGGTCGACTAAGTCATATGCTTTGGTGAAGTCAATGAAGGTGACAGCCAGAGACGTTTTTCGTTTTTCCAGATGGTGGTATATGTAGTCGAGAAAGCTGACAAGACAGTGAGTGGTGGAGGAAGTTTTCATAATACCAAATTGCTGAGGATCTATAGCGCCTGTAATATCAGCATAAGCCAAGCCCAGTCAAACACGAAACTTTCACTGATTAAGCTGGGTATTGGTGTGTGTGTGTGTGTGTGTGTGTGTGTGTGTGTGTGTGTGTTATGAGTTTGTCAACACCATATGCCACAGTGAAACGGGATTTCTAGCATTACAGAAAACAAATACACTGGTAAAAATTACCACATACACTTTAATAATTTTTACAACATTTAGATAAAATCCTGTAAATGTTTTGTTAACAATTTACAAAATTTTTACACCCCCAAGGGATATATATTTTTATTATTTTACAGTGCCACCGTTATATTTACATTATCCCTGTGCATATAGTGGTGGTTCTGCAGTGCCAAGGTGACAGACCGCTCGATGCCAGGGGTTGAGTGTCATGAGCCGCACCTGACCACAGTTAGTGCAGCGTATGACACCCATAACGACCAGGCTATTGTCTCGTTATATAGTTCCTGTTCTCTCTCTCTCTCTTTCTCTCTCTCTCTCTCTCTCTCTCTCTCTCTCTCTCTCTCTCTCTCTCTCTCTCTCTCTCTCTCTCTCTCTCTCTCTCTCTCTCTCTCTCTCTCTCTCTTTCTCTCTAATCTCTTTATCTCTCTATCTTTCTTACTCTAATTTGTTTTCTCTTACTCTCTCCGTGTACTTCTGAATATATCATTACGTATCCTTTAATTCCTCTGTTTATCTCCTTTTCTCACTAATATTCTATTTCTCTGTCTTTATCTCTTTCTCTTACAAAACTAATTCTCCATTTCTTTCTTTCTCTATCCTTCTCTTTATCTACATTTTTATTTGTTTATCTGTCTCATTTTCTCGTGCTATCTCTAATTCTGTTTCTCTGTCTCTTTGTTTGTTTCCCTGGCACTGTCTGTCTGTCTCTGTCACATTTTTTTTCCCTCTGGCTCTTCCTTTCTTCTTTTTTGCTTTAGTTTATTTTTAACTTTTCTCTCTCCCTCTCTCTAAATTCGTCTGTGTTGTCATTGATTTTTTTTTTACCTTTTTGTTTGTCCTTTTGTATCTCTCTGACTTCTCCATTTTGTCTCGCGTTCTCTTCATCTGCTTTTGTATTGTCACTTCCTTTGTTGTCTACACACATACATACATACAGAGAGAGAGAGAGAGAGAGAGAGAGAGAGAGAGAGAGAGAGAGGTATCAAACAACTTCTTATAGTCGTCACCATTAAAGTAAGTCACTTCTATGAGGATGATTCCCACCACACTCAGAAAGTTGATTGTGTTAATGAGTCCTAAGGGGACCCCTGTGTTAATGGTTCATAATCATAAGGGGGCCCCTGTGTTAATGGTTCATAATCATAAGGGGGCGCCTGTGTTAATGGTTCATAATCATAAGGGGGCCCCTGTGTTAATGGTTCATAATCATAAGGGGGCCCCTGTGTTAATGGTTCATAATCATAAGGGGACCTTTATATTCTGTGATACAGTTCATAATCATAAGGGGGCCCTGTGGTTCATAATAATAAGGGGCCCCTGTGTTAGTTCATAATCATAAGGGGGCCCCTGTGTTAATGGTTCATAATCATAAGGGGGCGCCTGTGTTAATGGTTCATAATTTAAGGGGGCGCCTGTGTTAATGGTTCATAATCATAAGGGGGCCCCTGTGTTAATGGTTCATAATCATAAGGGGGCGCCTGTGTTAATGGTTCATAATCATAAGGGGCCCCCTATGTTAATGGTTCATAATCATAAGGGGGCCCCTGTGTTAAAGGTTCACAATAATAATGGGGCCCTGTGTTAATGGATTCTAACCATAAGAGGGGCCAGTCTTAATGGATCGTAATCCTAAGGAGTCCCTATTAATAATGGGCTTCGGTAATAAGTGACCCCCTGACCTAATGGGACCCAGTCCTTATAGGCCCTAATGTTAATGGATCCCAGTCGTTATAGGTCCCAACCACTCATGACCCCCAATCCATTTAGGCTCCAATCTTCATAGGCCCCATTCCAAATAGTCCCCAGTCATAATAGGCTCCAACCCTAAATAGGCTCCAGCTAATGGTAACCTAATGGGCCCCTAAAACCTGTGGGCCCCAGTCTGTGGGCCCCCAACCTAATGAGCCCCAATCCTGTAGGCCCCAATCCTAATAGGCCCCAGTCATAATGGGCCCCAACCTAATAGGCCCCCAGTCCTGTGGGCCCCAACCTAATGGGCCCCAGTCATAATGAGCCCAATCCTAAGCAGGCCCCCAGTCATAATGGGCCCCAACCTAATGAGCCCCCAGTCATAATAGGCCCCAATCTAATAGGCCCCCAGTCATAATATTTAGCCTAATAGGCCCCCAGTCATAATAGGCCCCAACCTAATAGGCCCAACCTAGCCAAGTACAGTCATAATAGGCCCCAACCCTAATAGGCCCCCAGTCATAATGGGCCCCAATCCTATGGGCCCCAGTCACTGTGGGCTAGCCTAATAGGCCCCCCAGTCATAATGAGCCCCAACCTAATAAGGCTGATCATAATAGGCCCCAACCTAATGGGGCCCAGTCATAATAGGCCCCAACCCTAATAGGCCCAACCCTAATAGGCCCCAGTCATAATAGGCCCCAACCCTAATAGGCCCCAGTCATAATACTCCTCAATCGCAATAAATCTCTGACATATTTCTTCATCTAACCCAAAATAAAAACACACGAAATTAAATTTGAGCTTGTGTCCCAGGTGCGAATTTGTCTTAATGTTTCGCTTTGTTGTCAAGACGAAAGCGTTTGTTTTGATTCCCATTCTGGTGACGTTATGGCATCCGTCTTCATCCGCGTTCGTGTAACTTTCATTTAGGTCGTTCTTCTGGGGAATCCTGATGACGGATTTTAGCCTCGTTTTAGATGTTTTGGTTGTCTCTTAGTATAGTTGAGGGAGGGGGAAGAGTTTTGATGTTCTGCTCTGTTGTGTGTGTGTGTAATAATAATAATAATAATAATAATAATAATTATTAACGGTTTATTGAAGGAGCTTGGCAGCCAGAGGCTGAAAATATACAGTTACATATTTGAGAATGGGTTACGAATTGCAATGTATACAAGTAACATAAGGTGGCTTCGATAAGACATATAATAACTAGATGGGGAAAGCTCAAACTACAGGGCATTTCTTTATAGTGACAGTGTAGGGAGCAGTGTTTACTGGGAGTGAATACACTGATTTATTACATGTTATTGATAATTTTTACAATGGTTGGGACTGGGCTGTTCTTATAGCGATCAGTTCGTGCACGTATGGGCTGGATGCAATTCTCGGACTAGGGATCTCAGGTGGTAGTAGGAGCCGGTGTCGGGGATGGTGTAGAAGCTTCTTACCAAATTTGCAGATGAGGTCGTGGTGATGGTCAGTGAGAGTCGAAAGGGTCAGTGTGTTGAGTGCTTCTTGATATGTGGAGTAGGAAGGGAGAGAATAATCTTGCATGCCCTCTTTTGCACTTTTTCTAGGTGTTTACGTTGTGTGGCATTTAGGGAGGAAGACCAGGTGGGGGAGGCATAGGTGAGCTTGGGAAGTATGAATGTTGTGTAAACACTGAGGAGCTCGTGTGCAGGAACTCCGAGGGACTTGAGTCGGCGGAGGAGGTGGAGACGGAAACTGGAGGATTTGACAACTTCACTGACGTGTGGTTTCCAATTTAGTTTGTTGTCTATGGTGACGCCGAGGAGCTTCGTGGAATCTACAACCTGGAGTGTATTCGGACCTAGAGTAATGGAAGGAGGTGGGACAATGTCGGAGGAGAGGTTGATGTGCATAACCATGGTCTTGGTATGGTTGATGGTGATATGGTTGTTGGTGACATGGTTGTGTGTGTGTGTGTGTGTGTGTGTGTGTGTGTGTGTGTGTGTGTGTGTGTGTGTGTGTGTCATGAGGGATCAGAATGTTCATAATTGACATGGATATCCTCATTAGTGGTGCCAAGGTCAAACAACTTCCAGTGTTGTGTTCAGGAAGGTGTAAAAAACCCGTCTAGTTAACTGTCTTTCCTCACCTGGTTGAGTCCTGAGAGCGGGAGATTATTATTATTATTATTAGTAGTAGTAGTAGTAGGAGTAGTAGTAGTAGGAGTAGTAGTAGAAGTGATATTATTATTATTATTATTCTTGAGGTGAGGTTACTCCTGTTGATGATGCAGGTTAGTGTTGTGACGAATATAGTTGGGAACATCACAACTAAAATCTCCTACCTCACTTGTATCACTTCCAGACCGTCAGAAGTTCTCCCTCAAGAAGGACATTGCTGAGTTGAGGAAGACTTGCCGAGTAAAGTTTTAATTAATATCAAGATGGAGGAGGAGGAGGAGGAGGGTGGTGGTCGGAGAGAAAGTTGGGGGAATAATTTTATTTGTGAAATATTCCTCTTTCTCTAATTTTTTTTTCTGTCTCTCACTTTCAATCTTTCTCGTTTTCTCTCTTTGGTTGTCTGTCTCCACTGAATGTGCGTATCCTTCCCCCAACACCATCACACCTCACAAACACGCACACTTTTCACCCTCCCCTTCACTCCTCCACCTACATCCCCCCTAACCCTTATACCCTTCCCCTCCTCTTCTACCCTCCCCTTCTACCCTCCCCTTCTACCCTCCCCCTCTCACCATCCCCTCAATACCTGCCCCTTTCCCTTCACCTTATATCTTCCTTCACCCTTCCCTTCACCCTTATCCCCTCCTCATCAGCTCCTTCCCTTCACCCTTTCCCCTTCACCCTTTCCCCTTCACCCTATCCCCTCCTCGTTACCCCTTCACCCTCACCTTCCTTCACCCTCCCTTTACCTCTCCCCATAATCTTCAACATAGATCTCTGCCGCAGGTAACAAAATTTAGCTTTATATTAGACCGCCTGACAGCTAATATATGAAGCTATTATAGAGTCATTTTATATAGCCATTATAGGAGTTAACGTCATCCAGGTGGAAAGATCGGGAGAAATACACCAAAGAGGAAGAGGAAGATAAAGAGGAAGAGATGTGGGGAGGAGGAAGATGAAAAGAGGAAGAGATGAGGGAAGAGGAAGAGATACGGGGAGGAGGAAGAAGCAAGAGGAAGAGGAAAAGGAAGAATAAGATAAAGAAGTATAAGAATAAAGAGAAAGAAAGAGAGATGCGAACAAGAAAGTGAATAAGGAAGAGAAAGCTTAAGACAGAAAGATGAAGACGAAGAGAGAGAGAGAAAATGAAGAAAATAATAAGAAAGAAAATTAATGACAGAAGAAGAAAGAAGAGAGAGATAAAGAATAGATAAAGATAGAAAGAAGATGAGGAAGAGAAGGAGATGAAGATAATAAAGAGAAGCACTAAGATAAATCTGAAGAAGGTAAAAAACTGGATAATGAAGATAAAAATGAGAAATGGGGGAATGAGATTGGCTATGACGATAAATCAGAGGAGGAACAGATGAAGTGTGATGAAGGAGAGAGAGAGAGAGAGATAGAGAAAGGGAGATAGATAGATAGACAGACGCTACAGGTAATAGATAGATAGATAGATAGATAGATAGATAGACGCTACAGGTACTAGGTAGAATGAGAGAGAGAGAGAGAGAGAGAGAGCTACATAGATAGATTCATGGACAGTAAAAGACAGAAACAGACAATTATGCACCCAGACAGACACACAGACAAGCATACAGACACACAGACAGACATACAGACAAGCATACAGACACACAGACAGACACACAGACAAGCATACAGACACACAGACAGACATACAGACACAAGACACATACAAACAGACACACTAATGATAACTACATGAGATCGCACCAAATATTCTGAAATTTCTTTTAAAAATTCCCAGCGGCACAGTTATGGCCATACCCTCACACACCCTAAATATTTATGAGTAAACCTAACACAGCCTCACACACCCTAAATATTTATGAGTGACTCTAACACACCCTCACACACCCTAAATATTTATGAGTAAACCCAACACACCTCACACACCCTATATATTTATGAGTGACTCTAACACACCCTCACACACCCTAAATATTTATGAGTAAACCTAACACACCCTCACACACCCTATATATTTATGAGTGACTCTAACACACCCTCACACACCCTAAATATTTATGAGTAAACCCAACAAACACTCTCACCCTATAAATTTCTAAGATTCGAGCAAAAACATCTTCACACACTCTAAATTTCTATGATTCAGGTGAACGCGACAATTAAGAGTTTCCTGTTTGTCACGAGCCCTCATAAATCCGTTTTTGGATAACAAGTCGGATTTAGATCTAGAATTGTTTTCATCATGTGGATTTTTATGGAGTGAATAGAGTTTACTGAAAGTGTGTGTGTGTGTGTGTGTGTGTGTGTGTGTGTGTGTGTGTGTGTGTGTGTGTGTGTGTGTGTGTGTGTGTGTGTGTGTGTGTGTGTGTGTGTGTGAGGTA